GGCCGCGCCTCCCGCCTTCGCGCCCGCAGCAGGCTTTCGGGTACCTTCGCAGGAGGTTGCAAGGCGCCTCTGGAGGGCACATGGCCCGGGGCGGTGTCCGAAGGGAGGCAGAACGCTTGGCGGCCCCCCCGAATCTCACTCGGAGAAGTCGGAGATCGAACGTGGAATATCTGTGAGGGCGGGTGGCGTCGTGGTTGGGGGGCCAGACGTCAGGGCGCCGAGGGTCTTGGGTTCAAGGACCCCAGGGTGGGTGGCCAGGTCACGATTTCTTGCCCTGGCGCAACTTCGCAGGGTTGTTGTATTGAGGAAGACATGGGGGAAATGGGGGGGGTAAGAGAAGGCGGCTGCCCTCCCCTGTAGATGAAAGGACAAGTTAAAATATAATAAAATAAGAACAAAGCTGTATTCATTTATCATGTGCAGCCTTCGCCTCTGCGCTCCTTTTCTGTTAATACTAAGGCCTATGATGTCTGGGTTTAATTTGAGCCAAGAAATGTTAGCCCTGCGACTTATTTTTGGAAGCCTTTTGAAGGCACTCTTCATTGTCTTTTTACCCCATTCTCCTTTGTTTGGCTTCATTTAACCTTTGTGTGATTAGCCCTGGAAGAACACCTTCTGATTGAGTGCTGGCAGAGTAATAAAAGTGACTCTGGGGGCTGAAAAGTTTCCTTCCCCTCACTGGAGGATTACTGCAGCCCTCTCACACATCCAGTCATAAATTTTTATCCACTCCATCTCATAAAGAGAATGAAAAAAAGAGTAGATCAGAGTCAATTACCACCATCTTTTTCTGCATATTCAGCATCACTTAACATGGATTGGAATCCCCTCTTTGCCCATAAGTTGCCATTACAAAAGTAGAAAATAAACCGTCTTTTACTCCCTCCTCTAACAGTTCTTGATATGGAATGGAATCTTGCCAGGACAGTCTGTTTCCCAAGATCTTCTGCTGGCTAAAATGGGCATAAAGTTCTGCCAGTATCCTGTGGATGTGGCCAGATAATGTTTTACTCCCTTGGCTCTCCATTTGACCAAAAGTAATGCTTCCCAGTATGATCACACTGTGCACTAAATCTGACGTGTTTTGCACTGAAATGGTTTCAAAGATGTGCTAGACTGTGGCTTTTCTTCTATGGCTTTTTCTTGAATCATCTATTACATTTTATGATTATTGAATAAAGATCTATCTATCTGTCTGTCTGTCTGTCTGTCTGTCTGTCTGTCTGTCTATCTATCTATCTATCTATCTATCTATCTATCTATCTATCTATCCTGCAAATCATAATGTTAAAAGCACACTAAAAATGGGTAAAGTGTTCACTCTTTTGTTTTATAAAATACTGCCTTGAACATTTCTTAATACTTAAAATTCCAATTGAGCTTCCCATTGCGTAAGTCTTATCTGAAGCCCGTTTATAGCTGAACATGTATCAGCACAAGTATGAATAAACAAAAATGGAGTGGGATAGAAAAACATTCTAGAACTTTTGAGTCTAGTTGAAAGTAAAGAGACAAAATAGTTGCCTTTCAGTGATACTGGCTACAAAGTCACCGTCACATACCGCCTTCTTAAAAAGGCTTCTACAAAGGCAGTAGTATACTTCAAGTTTGGTCTGTGGTTTTACAGGGACTGCTCTGCATAATTATGTTGCTAGTATGGCATGAAAGTAGCTGTTGGCTCTTCAGTCCTTCAGCAGCTGCCTTGAAGGAGTACATCTAAAGAAAGAGCAAGAGAGATGAACTAGAATTTTTTGCTTAAGAAATAAATGTGCATGCTTTTGTGGCATCCCACATGTTTATAAGGCAAACTGAAAAACGGTGGCATATCTATTTGATATTCAGTGTGGCACAGGATTCAAAGTGTCTACTCCACATGCCAAGTTATCTAGGAACATGCCAGCACCTTCTTTCAGTTTATTTTCCCACTGCTGTATTGAAAATGACTCCATTTTCTTCCAAATTCCTGGAATGGCTTTTCAGAAGTTAAAAAAAATGCAAAAGAAAGTGGAAACCGTAGTAATTTCTTTCATAAAATTTTGGATGCAGTCCTCTAACTCATATTTATGTCAGTCAGTCAAAATCTTTATTGTGCAATCAACAGATCATTAGAATGTTAGGATTTATACACCAACTGTATATGTCACTAATATCATACCATAGGTATTTATCAATTAATATACTATGAAGTAAAATAATATTGATATGTATACATAAAATTACTATAAAGTATGGTAATTGCTTATTTAAACCAACTGGGGATCTTCAATAGAGCAGACATCCTTTAGTCTCAAGAGACTATGGTAATGTGCTCTGAACAGAGGACTTGGAACAGTGTCGAGGGTGGCTGAAAAGGCCAATTCGAGAGTGACAATCCCTTCCCCACTTAAGACAAACACAACCTGTCCCCTGTCCAGCTCCCTGATTTTGCTGGTTTCGGGACTGCCTCTTTGCCTCAGTCTGCTGAACAAGTGTCTCTTCAAATTGGGAGAGGCCCTGCTGCACCACCTGCCTCCAGTCTGAGCACTCAGATGTCAAGGTTTCCCATCTGTTGAGGTCCATTCCTAAGGCCTTCAGATCCCGCTTGCAGGTATCCTTGCATCACAGCTGTGGTCTCCCTCTGGGGTGCTTTCCCTGCACTAATTCTCCATACAGGAGATCTTTTGGAATCCCATTGTCAGCCATTCTCCCAACATGCCCGAGCCAACATAGATTTTGCAGTTTCAGTAATGTATACATGCTAACAATTCCAGCTTGTTACAGGACTGCACTATAGTATTTGGAACTTTGTCCTGTCAGGTCATGACAAAAATGCATCAGAGACAATGCAGATGGAACATGTTCAACTTCCTCTCCTGCTGTGCACAAAGGGTCCAGGACTCACTGCAGTACAGGAGTGTGCTCAGAACACAAGCTCTATAGACCTGGATCTTGGTATATGCCGTCAGTTTCTTGTTAAACCATACTCTCTTTGTGAGTCTAGAGAATATGGTAGCTGCTTTGCCAATGCGTTTATCCAACTCGACATCTAGAGATTGTGTGTCAGAGATAGTTGAGCCAAGGTAGACGAAGTCATGAACAACCTCCAATTCCTGTGTGGAGATAGTAATGGAGGGAGGTGAGTCCACGCCCTGGCCCATGACTTATGTTTTCTTCAGGGTGATTGTAAATCCAAAGTCTTGGCAGACCCTGCTAAAACGATTCAAAAGTTGTTGGAGGTCTTTGGCAGAATGGAAGTCCCACATGCATTTCAACTGATTTTCGTCTTTGCTCTCAATCTAGAGAGATTAAAGAGTTTTCCATCTGACCTAGTCCAGAGATAGATGCCTTCTGTTGCAGTTCCAAAAGCGTGCTTCAGCATGACAGCAAAAAAGATCCCAGAGTCAGTCAGCGTGAGGACACAGCCCTGTTTCACTCCACTTTGAATTTCATGTTTTGATGGTGAGCCATCAAAAACCTTCATTTCATCATGAAAGGATCTGATGATGTTAAGGAGTCAAGGTGGACATCCAATCTTGGGAAGTATGTTAAAAAAGCCATCCTTGCTAATCAAATCAAAGGCCTTTGTAAGATCTATGAAGGCCACAAAGAGTGTCTATCATTGTCCCCTACATTCCTCCTGCAACTATCTGAAGGAGAATACCATGTCAGTGCTGGATCTATTAGCTCAAAATCCACACTGTGATTCTGGATAGACTCTCTCTGCAAACAGAGGCCAGACTGGTCCCATATTTGTTGTCCTTCCACAAGCAGACAAAGACCTTTCTCTTCAGCCAAGCTTTCCTTCTGTGACTGGCTGTCTGAGAAGGGTTTTTTTTTTAATGGATTGTTGTAACTTGTTGCTTTTAAATGTGTTTTTAGTACTGAATGTATTTACCATTTTAATATAATATTTGTTTAATTCTTTTTAAATATTTGTATACTTACTGTTTTTTACTTTTAAATACTGTACTGTCCTTTTTTAATGATATAAATGCTCTTGGGTCCTTTGTGTGAAGAAAGGCAGGATACACATGTTTTAAATATAATCAATATATAAGCACACAGCAGAATGGAGTGGTAATGAAGGGAGATGGAATTACAGACTTCCAAGTAAACTTTGCAAATAGAGATCATAGGCTTTTAAAAAAAAATCCTTTCATAAAACGAAAGGGTTCTGGAAATATAAATATTGTACAGCAAAAAGTGGACTGGACTAGTGGCTGGCTTTTTTTTTTAACCTGTGAAAATGTTTGAGCCCCCTGGTGCAATCTGACACTGTAATTCCATTCTGCCATAGCATGTGTAGAAATTGGTTTACAATTAAGTAGGTCCTTATAGAATTATTAGAAAAGTATAATTCAGTGCCTTCAGTCACGTAGCATTTGAGAATTTATGCCTGTTTAAATACATGGGAGTATTTCTGAAGTTAAATATTTTTGCTGAGAATTTATGCCTGTTTAAATACATGGGAGTATTTTTGGAGTTAAATATTTTTG